AAGCATTAGTAACATATTTTATCACTACTCAAACAATATTAGTTTTATGAATCACGACACTTTAGTTTTCCAAAACACTATTCACTAGCCTTTCTTGACCTAAAAATACTTTAATTTTTCATAACGAGTTGGCAACCCTATGTATTGTTCAGACTGCTCTGTTGCTTCAGAATAATTCTTAACCTTTTATGCAAGAAATGCGAGTGAATGTGATCGGAATATGAAAAATAGCGGATGTTTTTTCGTGTTGTTACTACAGATCAGATCATCATCAGCCTTTTTACTTCAAGGGCTCAATCCGTTACGTAACAATCACATCTTAATAAAATATGTCTGCCATATCTGGCTCTTGTAGAACCGCAGTCATTACGCAGACGTATAGTAACGAGGTCTGGCATACATGTCTGCAGACTCGCCCGTGGGCATGCCCGTCTAGTGAATTCCCCGCTTATGCGCGAATCGTACTCGTATTCAGAGGGTTTCTTACAGATATCAAATTTTAAAACAATTTGCTGTGTTCGGGGATGGTATAACTGAATCGTGAAACATTATTTCCTCAACCGTCGAAACTGACAGCATAACAGCAGGCTAATTCTGTTAATGTTTACGTTATATAGCATCTCAATACAATCTCGACTTTAGCATTTCACCACTGTACTATCTACCTAAAGACCAATATTATTTATTAGTGCTATGTCTTTCTCACAAATCAACGGTGACAGATATATTGAACTTAAGGCAAAATGCAAATTGTTGAGATTTTATTAAAATGCGATAATTACCTACGTAAACATTTGCAGGTTTAGTTTAGATGATAATGCACGGTTTGAATATCGTATTATTAAAATAAAATATAACAACATTTTTACTAGACGTTATTATTTTATAAGATAGATATCTATTCAGTAATACCATACATTTGTCTCAATTAAAGTTTATTTATCTGATTATGGATATATAAAATAAAATGTAAAAAAAAATTTTTGTGCTTTAGACACCATTTTAAGGCTTAAAATGTATAATTTTACATTAAGCGCCATTACGTAGATCGTAGAGCAATCTAGCATTTGCTATAATGTTCTATTCTAGTATTAATACTGCTGTTTAGCCGTTAACGTCAAATACATTACATTTGTATACGCCGCCCGCCCGCCTTACATTATAACACGTCTGCTTATTGCACGGGCGGCTGCATTTGCCAATTGTTAGATGACAGTACGCTTTATACAGGTGTTGAGTTGTGAGATGACTGAGATCATTTAAAACTAAGTGACGTTCATTTTATCTTTTATAAATCTTAAAATAAAAGGAATTACATATAAAAGCATATAAAGCTCTAATTAATGTTCCAAATTTGAACGTTTGTATTGGTAATGTCGCTTTAAACTAATGACGATTACGTCCTTCATACTGAATTCCGTCTAATATTTTAACTTAGAGAAAGAAAAAACATAAAATTTCAAATTATTATTTAGATACTACAATTGACGCCCGGCAATCTTTATGCCACTGTGGTGCTATTACACTCACTTTTTGAATTTTCATTGATTTCCAACTTTTTACAGCCGCTGTTTAAAAGACACAACACGCGCCTGTTTTGACTTTGAGAGCATGAAATAGTTTATTGAAGGAAAGAGATTGTTTTTTTCATTTTTTCTCACCATAACAAAACCAGTAAATAAAACATTAAATAGCACTGAATAGCTTTCCAAATCTACAAGACTGTTTTTTAAAAATCTTCACCCACAGGAAGATAGATCTTAAGCGGGTGACATTGACATAGGCTATAATTTGCGAAAGTAAACTCACGGGACAACTTACTTTACTAATACTATAACAAGATCAATCAAGACAGTTTAAAAATAATGCACATTTTTTTTACTATTATTGTATAAAATAGATGCTGCATAGATAATTGACACTAAGTTGTACACAGGCGATATATTCAAAAATTTTTGAAGTATCAGAAACGGTACAGTAACTTCCAATAATATGGCTCACAGAAAGTTTTAATTTGCGCAGAAAAGCTAATTTTGATAATAACCGAACTAAGTTACGACTAGCCTTTATACAAGATTTATGATAGATTTGATCATAACTCATTAGATTTTATTGTCTCATACTTGACTGACAGAGTACAGAGAGTTGATATCAATGGGAAAATATCCCCTGGATCAAAAGTTAAGATGGGTATTCCACAGGGCTCAATACTTGGTCCTTTCTTGTTTTTAATTTACATAAATAACTTGCCTTATTTCGTAAGGGATGATCACGAAATAGTTTTGTTTGCGGATGACACTTCACTTTTGTTTAAAATTAAAAGACGGCTACCTCTAAATGACGATATGAACAATTTTATTGTTAAAGTAGTACATTTGTTTAATGTTATTATTTTCTCCTTAATGAAGGAAAAACAAAATGCCTAAAATTTGTACTACTTAATGTTAAAAAAGTAAATATAAATGTTAATATAAAAGAAAAGAACACGGGCCTTGTGGATAGCACAGTATTTTTAGGAATAACATTAGATTCTAAACTACATTTGGGCCCATCATCACCAGCCCTTTAACGTCCCCACTGCAGGGGCTCAGGCCTTCCTTATGGATGGTTAAAGAGGATGGGCCATGACCCTCCACGCTGGCCCAATGCGGATTGGAGGGTATTAACGACTGCAAATGCAGCCGGGACCAACGGCTTAACGTGCCTTCCGAAGCATGGAGTAGTTCGAGATAATTTTTTTTTTTGGTCACCCATCCCGTGACCGACCCTTGCGAAAGTTGCTTAACGACTACGATCGCGGGCCGCGTCGCTTATCCACTACGCCACCGAGCTACTCACCGAGCTTGGGCCCACATATTGATAAATTGTCGAGTAGACTTAGCTCTGCAGCATATGCCGTAATGAAGATACGTAGGATAACTGACATAGATACTGCCAGATTAGTATACTTCAGTTTCTTTAGTGTGATGTCGTACAGAATCCTGTTGTGGGGAAATGCTGCCGACATACAAACGATTTTTGTGCTTCAGAAAAGAGCAATTAGATCAATTTATAATCTTAGGATTAGGGACTCTTAAGAGAGAAATTTAAGGAAATAGACATAATGACTGTTGCTTCTCAATACATATACGAGAACTTAATGTACGTTCGTAAAAATATTAGTTTGTTTTCTATAAAAAGTGATGTACACAATTTTAATACAAGAAATAAAAAAAAATTTACGGTGCTTGTCACTAGACTGCAAAAAGTTAATAACTCATTCAGGGATCTTTGTGTGCACTTCTACAATATGGTCAATAAGCAAAATACAAATTTCAATTATATCTACTATTAAAAAATACTTATTGAAAAGCTTATTATAAGGTATCCGATTATATAACAGATAAGAATGTTTGGACTTGAGATAATCTAGCAATTGGATAGGTGATTACTTCTTAACACATTGTACCTATATCAAAAGTTATCTTGCTTCCATTATTATTAAATAATTATGTTATCATTAGAAAACCATAGTTTTATTTTTCTCTCTCTATTTATAATATATTGATCTGGTAATGACATGGTTTTTGTAAATGTCATTGCTCCTATTAGAGCTGGTGAGTTTCTTGCTGGTTCTTCTTATCAGCCAAAAGACGTCCTGAACGAGCGGTAGGGAAAAAAAGTTTGAACGATTCAAGAGTAGTTTTAAGAAGTCTATTTGAATAAAGATTACTTTGACTTTGACATACATTCGGTTATAATCGGCATAAGGGTAATAACTAATTTATTGATTGTCTGTCCGTCAAGTGGATTATTCAAGAATATTAAACACGTATTCTTTTGCGCAATCAATAAATTGACGTCTATGGTGACATGTGTATGACGTCACGACTTTGTACATTTTCTACATAGTTGTGACGTAACGATTCCCCACTCCTCAACTTTGATGACAATTATCTAAGCCATTTCTTTTAAATTGAAGGAAAAAAATATGTATCTATTATTTTTGTATAATCTGACTGACGTACTAAATAGAATTTTTTTTTTTAACCCAGTCTTCGTTCCTGCAGGTCTACACTGCCCAAACGAAAATTCACCAAACTGTAATCCTTATGATTTATTTTTGTACACCGCCCGCCTTACGTTACTCAGCGTGCAAATTTCAATAACGGTGCATTAGCGAGCTGTCAGATAACGAGTGCTGTTGCATAAGTTTAAAGTGGAGATCGGATAAAATTAAGTGCTGTTCACAGCTCAGTGGGCATGAAATTAATGCTTACATCAGTAAGGCGTTCGTTGCACACATTTGACTCAAGAAGTACCTTTAAGGTGAACATCCATACGTCAGCGCGTACTTACCGGCCACACGTTATGCAATGGATTATATTAAAAATTTCTAGGATGTCATCAGAATGTTTCCAATTCGCAGTCGTATTTTTCAGAGTTCATAGTATCTATAGACCAATCTGTGCAATGCGTTGCGTGTAGTGCGGCCGATGCATACGTATTGAAACAGTTGACGAGCACCTTTAGGCGTATCAATCCTGTGTTAGGAAATACTTAATGACGCCATAAATCTTCTAATGATTGATCTTCATTTTATTATTGATGCATATTTTCACATGACGTCGTTTACTTCCTAAATATTTGATTTAGATACATAATCCTGTATAATTTTGATATTCTTTTTGTTTAGTCGTTAGTTTGCTCTGTATTAAAACTAAAATTCAAAATTTTGTCATTATCCTCGACGTTAAAATTTAAAACGAAATTATTTATTTCTCATATTTTGTTACACAACAAAAGTTTCAATAAAAATATATATATTTCATTATATATTCATTAAATAACGTAATATAAAAAACGTCATCAAGAGCTTCAAAAACCCGCCAAGCGCATCGGACTCGCGTACGAAGGGTTCCGTGCCACTATCCATAAAAACGCAAAAAAGCTACGTTGTTGTATGAGAGCCCGATTAAATTTTTATTTTATTCTATTTATTTTTTTTTGTATTTGTTGTTCTAGCGGCAACATCATCTGTGAAAATTTCAACTAACTATTACAGCTCATTAAATATAATCTTATGACAGATGACCGAATAGCGGAGTCTTAGTAAAATGGTCCCTTTGTTTACGGCGCCCTAAAATGGAGCCAAGAAAGGGAGGTCCGAATTTAAACGCGTTGAAAGAACAACTAATTCATAGGTTAATAAAACATACTTCGACAGGACCTCTTACGACTGTCGCACCGTCTTGTAAGCAAAAAACGGTTGTCCTCACTAATTATCTCTCCCGGTTCTTTGCATGTATATGCTTAAATAATTAGCTTTTAATCATTTTAGTCTTTTAATAAAGGATAATTTTATTTTCACTTCTGCTCTTTCACCCTTGGAACAATACATGTGGTTTATTTTTTCTTCTCAGTCCCAGTTAATCCGCCATCTGACTCTTCGGTTTTCAAACAATAAGGATTCATCGACTAACATTAATCTGAATTACAGAAGGCAAGCTATTTCCAGCTACGCTTAGAACACTAACTATAGTATAAATTGCTTCGTAATATTTTATACGATAACTTTTTCAATAGTTAACCGGTTCTCTTTTATTTCAAGGCATATATTTCCAAATAAAAAAAGTATAGTATTCGATTGATAGTTTTTTTTTTTATAAATCTAAAAACTAAGTAAGTTCACGCCTCTTTCACACCATTCATAAGTTCACACCGTTCAACAAAAAAATCCCGTTTGTTTTATGTGAGCCCCCTTAAATGTTTCAACTGTCTAACTATTATGGTTCATAAGATACAGCCTGGTGACAGATGGACCGACGGACAACGGAGTCTTGATTATAAATCACCAGCGGTACCGGTTTCCCTTTTTAGTATTTTAAATATTTTTCATTAAAAAAATACTGATCCATCATGTATATTCCATGAATAATAGAAAAAAAATACAAAAAGCCACAAATAAGTTGGCATTAGATATTCCTTCACATCATTGACGAACTTTATCAACTTAAAACAGTGAAACCTGTATGCTATTGTAAATATTACTTTGTATAAATTACTCCGGTTTTCTTTTTCTATTATATTAAAAGTCTTATAGAAATATTGAAAACGAATTGCTAGGCTCACTGCAACACCGATCGACAATAAAATTTAACGATTTCTACAGCAAAGTTATTATAAATTGAGGTATATAAAAGTTCGTCACAGATTGTTCACTATAAAATTCGAACATGAATCAATTGGTTTTTGTGGTATGCTGTTTAGCAATGTTTCTTCTATATTCCAATGGCAGAAAATACGATGTAGATGAAGAATGCAAAAAAATATATGGAGAAAATCTAGGTAATGTCTTGAAACGATTCAGACGGACACCGGACTACATGAAAATATTGAACATCAAGAGACAAGAAATACTGGAAAACTTTCAGGACATTACTACGCAGGTGCTGATATACGAAACAAACCAGATGAAACAAAAAATTTACAAAATGTACAATCTATCAGCGCCAATTGGACGTTCGTTTTCTCCGGAAACGGGCCATTTTGGAGATCATCATTTAAGAAGTTTTAGCAGATATCGCCATAAGAATCAACATAAACGTGAAGGTGAAGATGAAGAAACGACACCAAGTGTTGATGGAAATGATAATAATGAGAAGCTTGATGCAGAAGAACATAACTCTGAAGATAAAATAAATCCAATAGAACTTCTAGAAGATGTAGTGAGCGAAAAAATTTTGTCTGTTGCTGAAACAAACAAGTTTAGGGATATTGGATTTGAGACTGCCGGCAAAGTGTTACATGGTTTAATAAAAAGCTACGACGGTGATAATTTACAAAAGTCTACCAGATTTCCAGTAGAGGGTAAATATACTGAGAAATATTCTACAATTACTGAACATGTACACGAGGTGAGCAGTACAGCACAGGCGGAGACCACACAAGGAGATGGAGTTAATGCCGTAGAAGGTGACGAAACATTTTTCTACAGACACAAGGCTTATAAAAAACCGAAAAAAGTAAAATAAAAATATATGAGCTAAGTTTTTTACTGTAAAAACTTGACCAAAAATATAGGCAGTGTTAATTGAGATAAAAAAGAAAACGTTTATAACATGAAAGGTGAAAATATTGCTTTTACACAACTACAACTCTTTTAAATAGTGCAATATTTTTACTATCACTAATATCACATACGTCCTACTTTGGGCGAGATTGTCCCGCTTTCAAGTCCTTCGTCCCGCTGTCCCCAAAGAGAATAAAAATTTCCCGCTTTAATAAACAAACTTTTATATACCTACTTAGTAACATATATAACTTATAAGAGAGTATTTTTAATATGGCATTTTACAATGACTAAGATATTTTTCTATTTATATGCAAAATTCTGTATGTATCCCGTTATGACACGAAAAAAATGGTCACTTTTACTATCACCCCTTACTAAATAATTTACTAAAAAACTTAGCTAAACTCAATACTAATAATTTAATCACATCATGATGCGGGCGGCCATTTCATGAAATGGTCGTTCTTCATAAAACAGCCACCTGAAACTGATCATATCATTTACATGTCAACATTTAATGACATGGCAATCCAAGGCTATGCTTCGCTTCGCAATCGTCTTAAATTTCTAACCTTCACGTGACCTAAAAATAAAATCTTAGTAGTAAATCATATAAGAAGTTTATTTCAGTTCAATTTTCAAAAAAAAATCATAAAAAAATATCATGTCAATGGCACATATACTTCTACAATTATTTCACTAAAGTTAATAAAGTAATAAGTTTAGTGAAATAATTATATTGGTTACTTGAACCATAACAATTAAATCATGATTATATTCCTAGGAATATAACTATAACTACAGTTTTATCTCTCTTACTGTGACATTTAGTAATTCTATAATAGTCCATTGATTTCAGTTGCTCGGTCACCCTATTATCTTTTATAACCTAAAAATGAAAATATGATACTTGATATCACAAAAACAATATGACATCAGCGCCTCTAACGGAGACTAATAATAATGTTACGATTTAATCACTAATGCTTAGATAAATCTTGAAGCAGTTATACAAACAACCGCCTATATCGTTAAACGCAGATTTTTGTTCATTGATCTAATCGGCAAAATCATGATCAAAGTTTTTTCTGTTTCATGTTATACAACGGCTCTATAAAATCATCTGGTGTCTTCTTGGCAGCGATTTTTAGCGATTTCACTCGCGTAAACTAGTTAGAATTTACGCGTATGCATTAGACGTAAGCTGACGAAAAATGTAGCTTCCAATAAGTGAAACAATTTTAGAATCGATCCTGTAGTTTAATAAATACAAACAAACAATCAAAGTTTTCCTCTTATAATATTACTATAAATAAGTAATATAAACATTTCCGTAACAATTTCTAGCTTTTAAAATTCAACATTATTACTATAAGGACTTTTTTCTTTAGCAGTTTTAAACTATATGAAAGAAGTATACTTGAAAAAGAGTTAAGTTTAAGACGTAACAATTATATTTTTGAAACTTTTCCAACAAACACAAAAACACTACACAAAACAGCTTCTAGACAAGTGGAACTTTTAATAATGAATGAACAGTACTACATAACAAATAGAAAGCTTTACTTCAAAGGCATGTAAACGTTGCAAGTGAACGCGTGGGTGATGCTTGCATCAACAATAAACTCCTCGGTATACGTGGTTCATAATAAATCCAACTTTATAAAAGCTAATTTAGATTGCGCGGAGTAACATATCAAGTAGCAAATATTGAAATTAAGCTGCACTAAAGAAAGTTTATTACTTTAATTAATAATAACATTTTATTTTAACATGACTACAATAAAAATATACGACTTATATTAAGTTGTGTTTTATAGGAAACATATCAATAATTTTTTCAAAAATTTCTTCATACACACTCGGCCGGTTTCCGAATCAAGAAAAGTACAAATCTCAACTCAATGTTCTCAATAATGAGTTTTTTTTAAGTTTCACAAGGCCAAAAGTGCTAGTTTTATCAAACTGCTATCACATCTGATTATTCAGAAAACTAAAATCAGAAACGAAAACCTCCTTTAGTGGCGTATAAGTACAGTTTGAGACGTGTTTAACTTTAAATTCTCAATTCAGAAATCGGGTGTTAGGCTTCTTAATTTCGGTTCACAATAGAGGTGTAAATAATGGGTAAATAAGAATAATTTTTATTTAATCCGTCAGTCATTTGAAAAATATAGGATAATTTTTTTTGCTGAAATTTAACAAGAAATGTTTTATATGTATTGAATTTGAGGAGTAAGGGCTCAATACATCACAACTATATAAAAAATGTACAAGGGGTGATATTTCAACGCATCAATATATAGCCGTAATTTATTATTATTGGTATCTAATGTTCTTTGATAATCCACCTAACGGACATGCAAACAAAAATTAATAATCATAACCGATTAAGGAATTATCGGTTTCTTTTTTAAATTAGTACCTACTTACCCTTTTTTAAGTATATTTAATACTGACCATATGAGTCTTCGTTGGATTCCATTTTGTTGGCAATTCCAACTTGGCAATTATACCACAAAATAAAAGAACATACATTTGCATTTAAATTAGTAATGAAAAATAACAATAGCACTCGTCAATTCTATTACAAGCTGATGAGTTTCTCGCGCTCATTCTTATTATCAAGTTGACCTCAATAAAAAATGTTTGTTGATTCATCAGAACTTCTAATAACTTAACTTTGAAAACGATCATCTCTTAAATGGTCAATTAGTCATCTTAAATGAGTTTATAAACTTTTGACGAACCTTAATAAAACCAATATGGAATTTATGCAATATAAAAATGAAAGTTTTCAATAATAGGATAATTGACATCTTTTTTATTTTATAAATAAATAGTCCAATAATATCTTAAAAATAATTTAGTAGTAGCAGTGGTGCTACTTCTAAATTTACTATTCTCCGAAACTATTCTCTACTAATCGTAGACCCACGTCTACGATTAGTAGAGAATAGCTTCGGAGATACGATGCTATGTTTGTGGAACTACTGTTAGTTGGCCGAAAACGCTCCCTACATATTCAAGGCACTACTAAGGTAGCGATAAATGTATGGGCGTTTGGGCTATCTTTATATTTGTGCGTTTATGTTTACAGCTCTTATAAAAAAAATTGTTGTTGCGTTTTACGTAAATAATTTAATTCCATATGTATTTTATAAAATTATTGTAATATATGCTTTCTACTATTTCAACTTTTCAAAGCATAATATTTTCCAAAATAGTGTCCTAAAATTCGTTTTCTTAAATATTTATAAGTTAAAATAGTGCGTATTATCCGAACATATACCAGAAACCTGTATTTTCACTTTTAGAACACAACCCATTATGCAACGGATACTGATCAGAACATTAGACAGATAAAATAGTAATTCGTTTGATAAATTGCATATACTAAACCGCTTTGAAGATCTTTCACTGAAAGATCACGTCAACACTGAAAAAAATGTTTTGGTTAATGCTTACTCATCATGAACGAACTAGGTCCTACTTACGCAACTGTTATAGTAAACGAATTTTGTTGGTTTTATTAAACTACTATTTAGAAGTGTATATTTATACAGAGTGGTCAAAAAGATCTGATCCTTTTTTTTAATTCTTCATAAGGGACCGCCCCTTAAAAATACCTCACGTATGTTTAACTTTGTGCTGTGTTGTTTTGATGTTTTTTATGTTTCTTTTATTATTTTTGATATATCGACACATCCTACGTTTAACTCGCTTAAAATGTCAACTTGTACTGGAGAGCCAATCCAATGAAAGTTTTGTTATTTGTTAAAATTATAATTTTGAAATATAAGACGGTCGCGAAGCGCAGTGTATCGTAAATTTCTAACTGTTAATTAGAAATTAAATGTTAATTAGTTTGCTGCCAACTAACTAACTGTCAACTCACCGGGAACACTGATATTTATAGGTAGGATAAATTGTAGTGGGTGATTTTATATATAACTCAAAAACTAGTTGCTACTATCTGTGATTGATACAGATATAGGACTGTTCAAAATAAAACAAACTGCTTTTCGCGACTGGGTGTTAATGGTCCGTATGATCCAATACAGGAAACTAACGTGCCTACGCATAATGCAAATGGGTTTAGTTTAAACATTCATAATATTTAAAAAAAAATATTTAAAAAATTTAAATTAAATATATTAAACATAATATTAAAAAAAAAAAACAGCACAACAAAATCTTGATATCAAAAATTTTTATTTTTGAATACTTACTTTAAAAACCTTTTTTTGTTCTCCATTTTACAGCAAAAGGTCTCAGGTTTCTAATAACAACAATATATCCATCGATCGGCGTCAATAACGCAGATAACTATCTTATCGTTGTAATAAAAAAAGGAAAAGCAACTAAGCACTTTATCCAAATGACCTACCGAAATTAGGTTCTCTTTCACCTGCTTTGCTTTTGAAGAAAACTTATGTTACAGTCTCAGCTCTGTTATATATGGTTATCGTTTTTAGAGTTTATTCGATCAAATACACAAACGTCTATTGAGGTTTGATGACGTCTTTAAGCTCTAATGAATGTTTTTGTATGGATAATACCACTTTAAACTTATGAAATTTAATGGACGTTTGTGCAACTTGCTGTTAGACATTTTTTATCTGTTCCTAGCCACTAATACTCTTTTCAATATCCAGCGGTATCGGCTTAGATTAATCTAATTTGATTATTCTTAATAATTTGAATCAATCACGTAGCCGTGTTACATTATAAAATAATAATAATGTAGATTACAAACAAACAGTAACTTACTAAAACATTCATTAAGGTTTAATGACGACTTTCAGCACTAATAATCGTTTTTAATTTGAAATTTGTACATTGTTTGGTAATGTCACCTTAAACTAATGACAATTTTAATTAACATTTGTGCAAGGGGCAGTATGATTAATAAAATAGTTATAGTGTTACATAATTACATCTCCAAGAACTTTATTTTTTTTAAATAGAATAGTATCAATAGTAATTTACATAGAACAAAGCCGTCAAAACAAGAATTGAGTAAAATTAAAATCTTGAATGAAGTATCACTAGAGTAAAATATGATGAAAATAATCTTACAGGGGAGAAATTCAAAGTTTAACACTAAAAGTATCTAAATTTCTAAATCTTTATGGCAAGCTTTATCTTTGAACTTTAATAATTATAAAATTTGGTTTTCTACTCTATAAAATTCATCTCATTTTATGTTATTATTACTGTCGTATTGTTAAATTGCCGCTCGTGTAAATTAGTATCATATCAGATAATAACTTCTACCTCTATTTTATGAAAATAATAGTGTAGATATGTGCTATGTTGAAGCTAAGTTAGAACTTAGACGAACTCCATATTCGAGTAGGTTGATGGTGTGAAGGTGTCGTAGTCTCTGACTCAAATTCCAGTCAATTTTCAGTCGGATCACTATGAATATTTTTTACATTATCTCGTATATGGGTATTATGGTATCATTGTTGTTTTAGATACTCCATAATACGGGAGCTTGGACTACTTATATTTGAATTCGAGCAATATATTTTATTGAAAAATGCTTTAAAAATTCAGTTTGAATGCAAAATTTATCAAATACAATTATTTAATTCGTATTTGAAAGTCGGTAAATCGAAGCAATGCATTTGATGTTCTCAACTGTTTACTTGTTTACTATAAGTATACAGAAAAAAATAAGATATAATAAAGTCTTGGTAACCGTAACAGTTTATCTTAATGGAGCAGAAAAGCTTTCATCTGGGGGGGACACGCACGACATAGCTAGGGTCCGTCTTTATTACCCATTCGACATGTCTTTGGCATTTCATTTGTGACTCCGGGTAATATCAATTGTCAGAACAAAATTTCTCTAGCCTTCGTCACAGTGTAAGGTGTCTGGTATATAAAAAGAATTGACATTTTCACTAACTGAAATGACAGATATGACTTTTTAATAATATAGATGACTCACTCCATTCCTTTACTCAACATACACAGCAGTAATGTGAACATAAAAAAATATATCTCAATGGCGTATCCATTAAGCGACGTCTACATATAGTACGCGCATCTTGAAAAAAAACGGAATCCACGAAAGTGTAAATCGCGTTAAATAGTTAAATAGTTTCTTAGTATTTATCCGCAGAAAAGTTCTTACACCACAAAAGAATGAATTTGAGCTTTATCCAGACAAATAAAGCTCAAATTCATTGTTTTTGAGCTTTCGTACTCTTTCGATTAATCCAAATAAATCAGTTCAAATATCATTTCACATAAAACGAGAACACAAAACTCGATTTGTTTCGATATTGAGTCATAGAAAAAACAAAGCATTAAATAAAACTAATCTAAGCGTATAAAATGCTTTAATGTCATTCCGACTATCATAATTTTCGACACCACCAAACTCCAAACTAATAAATATAGAGCTTTGGATACTACAAATTTATCGCCATCTTAAATTTTATCAATTGTAAAACATTGTCTCACCATGAATTGAAACCGGATTCATAGAACCAAAATCAAATCTCAATTGCTGAATCAATTTTGTAATCTAACTAAGTCAATAAGATAGGGGTTCCTAACCTTTTTATGATCGTTAATCCTATAACCTATAAGAAAACCAATTTAATTTCCAGTCATCGTATCTAACAAGAGAACAAGCCTCTCCTGAAAGATATCTCTAGATGTGGCCATGATGCCTATTAAATACGTCTTAAATCATGATCTTCATTAAGACGGTTTTATTATTTTTTCATTAATTATTAGTTTCTTTGTTACTCTTGCAGAATTGCTAATTCATCTCCGCATAAAATACCTATTACGAGTACATTAGGTTAGAGACCACTGCAATAAAGCATCTGGTACGAATTTATTAATAAAAGAAAATGCGTAGATATAACTAAAATTCGAAGAACTAATAAAATAATGTACTCTTTATGACATTCTTCAACCACGTCATCACAGGTATTACAATATTATAATAGTAATATTATATAATTGATTAATAAACATATAAAAAATAATTAAACATGTTACCTAAAAAGTCATGAGGTAATTATGAAAAGTTTGTTCTGTGTTAATATCAGTAAACTTCACTTGACCAATGAAGTTGAAGTCTTTTGTTCATATTATTCGATATAACTATCGGTAATAATTACTTATATAAGGGGTAAAAACGGCAAAACCATTCCCCGCAGCTACTTTCAAGACTTATGCAAAATAACAAACCGACCGTTTGTGTGTTTATTTCGCTTGTATATAAAATAATGCTTTTATTTCATTTAATTTATATTATCGAGTGAAAAATACTAAGATTTTACAAATGCAAATAAAACATAACATTCGAGAGTGTTGCAATTTAATTCACTAATGTTTGTGTAGTCTCTATTTACAGTAGTTTATTCCTAACCAACGTCAAAAAATATCTATAGGTTTTCAACTTGAATGTTTTCTTGTATCCATATTACACTATTTTTGTTTGAAAAAAAAATCCCATTAAAACTTCGATTAAAAGAGATCAGTAGTTTTGTTTTAATATAAAAAAACTGTGCGATCTACATCACCTAACTATCTTCGTGTTTTTGTGACATAAGAACTCTATAATGAAAATGATAATACCTCACAATACAGACCTCATAATCGTAAAATTATTATTATTATGACAAATTCAAACTTCGTTAAAGTCAAACAAAAAGATAATGTATATAGAATTAATAAAATTAAGTATTATTATTCGATTCTTTTGAGGTCGTTTTTCTCGAAGTTAATATCATTTTAAAATTGATATAAAAGCTCATTCCTTGGTTAGCATGTATAAGAATGTATGTAAATATCCCAATACAAACTTCTACCCACCTTTTTATTCCTTTTATTGGATTTGTACGAAGTCTATTGTATATCTTGTTTAGTGTCTCATATTTTTTCATAGCAAATTAACTAAAGTAAAGGTTTCAGATCTTTCGCATTTATATTATTAGTAAAGTTAATTAAATAATAATAGTACCACTTCTCTGGTAAAACAAGTAAAGTTACAAAAATATCGCAAATTCATTAATTTCGAAAGGGTAGTTTTTCTGATAGCCAGCACAAAATTATCTTTTAAAACCTGTACCGATAATCTTCTACTATTTGTCACTGCATAGCATATTAATTGTACTTTTTTAACTAACAATACAAAAAATAGGGGGTTTAAGTTTTCTTGCGGAAGAGAACTATACAAAAAATATGAAAAGTAGTATACTGCATATTCGATATTTACCTTATCAATGGAATTATAATACCTAGTATGATTTAGCAAAGATTTTTTTGTAAAATGAAATTCGTGTTAAAGTTCCGTGCCCAAACGGTAAAAAACAGAACCCCATTACTAAGACATTATCCATCCCTCCGTATGGCCCTCCGTCTGTATGTCTGTATGTATCTTAATAACCGGTATAATTAGACAGCAGATATTTTCATAGATTATGTATTTCTGTTGCCGTTATTATATCAAATACTAAAAAACAGAATAAAATAAATATTTTAAGGAATTACCATAAAACAAACGTGTTTTTTTTTTACTCGTCTCTTATACGGAACCCTCCAAGCGCAATTGGCAAATGCAATTGGATAAACCGCACTTGACCGGTTTTTTGACAATATCCATTCCAGACAATAACCCATGTACACAGCTCATTATTTCTATTAATTTCTTTGACCAGAATATACTGCTGTAAGTAATCTTCCGAGTTTCCGAGTCAACGACACTAGTGATTGACATTTTACTTAGCACGATTATCTTAACTTTTTGCTTGCAGCCTGATTTTAAAGAAATCATCGTATCGAATTAAGTGTCCATAATAATTAAGTATTTTCTATGGTTTCAAGCAGGCCTACCGCGTGACGTACTTGGCTTCGATATGATTGATATTGTAATTAATCGAAATGCACTCAACGTTATTGACGATAAGCATATTTATTTCGATAGGGATTGAATATGACCTACTCAAAAAAACGTCCAAAGACGAACAAAAAAAATAATACGCTTTTACGAAATTTTTTATTTTTGTGAAAAAATCTTAGCACATATATATGCCATCGCGGACTTTTTATAGATAATTTAATACTCTCCAACTTTTCTTTAGAAAGCATTCGTATATATATATCTAACCGTTCAGGCAGCGTTCACAAAAATAAGCACCCTTAGAAGGAGTCCTATCCCTAGCGAACCTTTTAGAGCTATAAAAAGTTTATATGTTTATCCAGGTAAAAATTGCCTATATACCAAATTTCATGCAAATCCATTCAATAGTTTTTACGTGAAGTGGTAACAAACATACAAACATCCAAATATCTAAACATACAAACTTTCGCCTTTATAATATAAAAGTTTCCAAGTAACGCACAATCGATGAACTTATTAAATTTCGCTGAAGACCTAATTAACTATAAAAACTGACTGCCGACATAAAAATTCGGACACAATTTTTAAATCGGGCACCCCATTTCACCGCTTCTTCAATTATCTTAGTACGAAAATAAAAACCACAAATTCGCAGGCCGACACTTACCGTGCGGGTAAATTCGGTCAACTCGCCACAGTCTTTGAGCACATTAAAACACACAAATAAAATGGCTAGCACTTATTTCGTACGATCGTCAAATAATTGTTTACGCACGATAACTTTCGCGGGAAACTTTACCGCGAACCGGCGTACCTCTCACAGACATCTTTACTCGGCGTTAGTCACGCGACTACTGGCTGAAAAATATTTTTTCCACTACGAGAACGAGTACAGTCAGAGCATAGCAGTTTTCATTATATGCGTCTAGGGCGGGAAAGCTGCTTTGGAAGTATGAATGTGCTCTCTCCATGACGTAGGTAGTTTCTTCTCTGATGACGTATTCAAAAAATGAGGACAAGGAATAAAACCGCTTACGCCGATTGTTTGGGGTAGGGATGGTAACAGATATTTTTTATCGCACGGCAAACAATAGTTTAACTGAAAAATGAATTTAAAAATCATTAAGTATCATCTTTTCGATATACAATATGCTTATTAACGCTTAAAATAACATGTCTTTATGCATATCAGCTATTTCAATAGTAACCTTGTTGGACCATTACGCATTTGAACAAAATGGAGGATAGAGAACTCAAAACGCTTCAATAACATACCTTAAAATAGAATAAAAAAAACTTTTTAAAACTCTGTCCAACCGTAACAAATTATCGTATAAAATTATAAGCGTTGCCTGGGCACCCGAGCTCGATTCAGTGGACTCGAGTTACAGCTGTAAAATTATATCTGAAAAAGATCTTAATAAAATGTTTATATGCCAGTTAGCGTCAAATAGCGCTGTACGTGTGTAGGTTTTACTAAGTAAAGTCATATAACTTTATGTTTATTCATATTTTATCTCGTTTTACTTTTCCAGAGTATCTGGGAAAATAATGGTGGTATTCAAGTTACTTAAAATTGTAAAATAACATATGTAACAAATGACATGGCCGGATCCTGCCCAAAGAACCAATTAAAATTTACTGTTATTATCAATTTGTATAAATTACATTTATAATTAATTAAAATATACAGTACCTACCGATCACAATTCTCTAGAACATGCGAAAAAATATGCCATAAAAAATAGTATCTTTATTTAATCAAAGTATTTACATATGTTAGGTGTTGACATTATTATTTTATGATCATCACAAAAAAAGCATTACATATATTTCAAACAAGGAGGTCGATCTGATTGAATTCTTTCTCTTCCTTATGTATATTCTTCACTTAATACATACTAATGTATTATCTATGATACTAATATTATAAATAGAAAAGACTTGATTGTTTGTTTGCATCGAATAGGTCCCAAAACTATTGAAACGGTATAGGAAACAACATCGTACGCACTATAATTTATACGGACGAAGTCACGGGAATATAGCTAGTTCGTCAATAATAGGACGATTTTCATGGTTCTTTTCTTTTATTGGAAAGAATATACCTATTGGCATAACTACTTAAAAGTCAGTAGCTTTTGTAAATCTGAAAGTACAAAAAATTGTTTGTTTCAAACACTAAAACTGTGCAAGCATGTCTTTACAAGTGCATTGTTGCTTAAAAGGAGGGTGTGTTATCTCTCGCGCACACCTTGTTGTTATGGAATCCATTCATCGGCTGAATGCGTCATAGAGTAAACAATATTGAGAAATAGCATTTAGATTATTTACGCCATATTAACATGAACTACCATGATACTACTGATTCATTTAAATGATTAAAGAAGATTTTAGGACCATTGAAATATTTAATTTATCTATTAAACTAAGAAAATAGTAAACAAGAACCTATCCATACCATAGTAATCAAGCCTGATTAAATGTCAAGTACTTGCACCAAAACATGTTGTATACTTAATGTTACAGTAAGTTTCAATCGATATGGCATTCGTGAAGAGCTCAATGGTGAAGTGTTTAGTGCGCTCGATATGCGATAGTGTAGTTAAGCCACTTTCGCAAGGACCGGTTATAAGATGGGTGACCAAAAATTTACTATCTGAAATAGGGATGACGACTAATTTTTGTTTGTTTGTCCGTTTGGTAGATTATCGATAAATATCAAACACGTATTTTTTTCTATACATTGAGTTCAAATGTTACATGACATCACGCTTTTGTGCATTTTATACAAAACTGTGACGTAACGAGCCCCCACTCCTCAACTTTAATGCTGTAGCGGTGCGTCGTACCACCGACCATTTATTTCGTCCTAGCTGCAAACTTTTTGTCTTATATCTTCAACATCATTTATAATCCAATATGCTCTTTATGAACGTCAGTTTGTAAAAAAAATCATCTGGTGAGAACATGATAGTTTAATCATATGAATGTAATAATAAAAAAGTTATTATATTTTATTTTATCTATTACTGATAACCCAGAAACGGAGTATGTATTTTTTCTATTTAAATATTTTAATTATATTATTTAGGTATTCATACGAACTATTTTTATATTTATTTTTTGTTGCAGTTTTTCTTATTACCCTCTAATAAATCAATTTTTAAAGCTTAATCAGCCTTTTATTGTCTAAGCATCGAACCCGTCACGATGCCTGCTATCTAAACTATTTCTTGTCAAATTGAATTTAAAAAAAGGCGTATGTAATATTTTTCTACTAAACTAAACCGACGGACTAAACAGTTTTTTTTTTACCCAGTCGTCCCGGCTGCATCTACACCATTAACTCCAACCAATCCGCGCTTGACCCGCGTTGGTCATGGCCCATTTTTCCTATTCGGTTCCATCCATATGGAAGGCCTGAGCCTCAGCGGTGGGAACATTAATAAGCTGGTGATGTTTCGCCAGCGAAGACGTGATCCAATATCATAAACAAGCATAATTATTAAAAATTGTAATTTATCTTATTGTAATAACTATAAGGTATAAAATACAAACACTATTTCCAAATTCGACAAGTGTGAACGGCGACATCCGATTTAAATATATCAAATACCCACCGAATGCGAACAAGGTGTTAGGGGGATTAAGGAAAACGAAATATGATCTGTTTGTATGTACATTTCAAAATGTTATAGGAGAGTTCACTTCTAAGCACCTAGCCTCAATCGAATATAATCGATATATTTTCGTGGTTGATTTTAAACTCTACCTTTAAAGCATTAAGGTTTAAAATCGAATGGAGACATTTGACAGATTTGTATAACCTGACGTCCTGTTGAATATACATAATTATCGTACATAATACAATGCTATTCTACTCAACTACACATATCTGTTATTTCTGATAATAAGAAAATCTTTACCGCTTCTACATATAAAAAGGTTTACATCCGATATTACTATAGATGATCGATGCGTATAATTAACATATTATTTACCGCACACATACCAAACAAAATTGATGGATTGTTATAAATTATCATCAACTCGACGTATAATGAATTAACAAAATTTAACAGATACTTTTGTAACTATTTAATCATTATTACCAAAGTGACTGCATAAATTGTTATTAGATTTCATAAATTTTGCATTCACAGTGATATATCGGAGGACATTGATAAGCCCCTGCCAATTCGTGCAAATAATAATAATGTTTTTATTTGCAATAAATAGGGTTATATATGCAGTGACGATTTTAAAGTTTGAGTGAGAGCTTTGACCTATTCAGCCATCTTGAATAGCATGCAAAAAAATATATAGGTATGACACAGACAGAACTTAAAATAGAGCTACTTCTTTGTAGAATAATTGATATTTATCTTAAAAAATGCTTTTCAACGATTTCTATCTCGGTCATCTAGGACTGGCGAGCTGTTTAAGCATTTTTCTTTAAGAACATTATTATATTCAAATTGACTTGACAATGAGTAAAAATGACCTTATGGATTAAATAGGGATTTTGATTAACTAAACATAGTATAAATCAGTCTTATTGTCTGTAAACTGAAATCTTTTAAACCACATAACGGATTTCAATGCAGTTTTCATCAATATACAGAGTGATTCAAGATGAAGGTTTATATGTATAATACAGGACCACGCGGTTGAAGCCGCTGACTGAAAGCTAGTAATAAATAGAAACCCTTACTTTTGGAAATAGTATTAATAGATTGTTGACCTCCATCCTCAATTTAGAGGTTTGTTATTTTAGATTGAAGGAAAATTTTAGCCTATTTCATTTCGTCAACAAACAAATAGTAGACAATACAATCGTGCTCAAATAATATTCCGTCTCGTTTGAAGGGAAAACATCTATGTTGTTATATTATAATAACATGAAAATGTCTTCTCGATAAAATTCCTCTTTTCACAACTCAATGATCAATCACTGAGTACCTATAAAGTTAAAATTATTGAATTCCTCAATAATTACAGTCAGAAGTAACGCATTTAATTGAAATTTTTCCCTGACGCAGAAGCAGTGACCTAGAAATATCTAATAAATGGTGCCTTGGACTATTGCCGTCCAGTGAATTGAAGTAAACAGTATTATAGAGGTAAATGTGTAGTGAACTCAGTTGGGATATCGAAATTACTTAAGTCAACAAAAGAATTCTCCTAAATTCTCCAACAAAAGATTTCGTAGAACTTTAGTTTATTGTATCTAACAATACACAAACATTAGGGTAGGTAGCCTTTTCTAGATGTTATTTTTTGGCCCTGACGTTAACAATTATATAGAGAACGAATAAATACGATATTTTTTTAATGAATAATCCATCGTTTTTATTAAAGATATTACAATTTGAATAAGAGTAGGAACACGACATCATTTATATTATTATTTATTTTCATTCATAAAATTAATTCACTGCGAGATATTGGCATTTAATGACTATTTGTTGCACTCGAACAATTCCTTAGACTCACTTTGCTAATTAATCAAATCATCTGACACTACATATATCAGAAACTCAAAAACTGACCAAGATGCTTTTCAAGACAAAGCCGTCTGAACCGAAGTCGTGTATATAAATATATATAATCAAATTATCTCCTCTTCAGTTTTTCTCTCTTTACATCCCCATCCATATCCATAGCCCTTCCTCTATGTCCTCTACGTCTCACAGATTCTAGTTTATCACAGACCATGGGAACGATACGTTACAAAACATATAAAATGATTAATCTAAACGCAACTAAGAACCCGTTCAATAGCTAATACGCACAGTAATATTAGGTCAACATTAAAGTCAGATATAAAAATTTAATTTATGTACTTTCTCT